TCCCCAGGTGGGAGAGGCTCTGCTGCCCACGCTCTGGGAGGTGAATATCAATCAGAGAATAGTCAACATTACAAAGGCTACCATTTATTTAGTGTTTACTCCAGTGGGAGCCAGTGTAAGCCTAGTGGATAAGCGTGTGGGCTTTAGGCTCAGACAGTGATTCCCTTTTCTACCACTTACTAGCTGTGTGACCCTCGGCACGTTACTTGACCAAAGTCTCACTTTCCTCATCTGTAAAATGGAGGAATGTGTGGTAAAACCTACCTCACAGGGAAGTCATGAGGAGGAAATGAGCTAATCCAGTAGTGCTTAGGACCCTGCCTGGCTCATAGTAAATGCTTAGTGAATGTTCTCTACAACGATGATGATAAAGAGGAGGAAGAGGCTATTTACGTTTAGTTGAAATTAAATAAAATTTAAGATTCAGTTCCTCAGTGGTACCAGCCACATTTCAAGTGCTCCGTAGCCACAAGTGGCTCATGGCTACAATCTTGGACAGCACAAATAACAGACATGATATGGAATGATCCCATCATCTTAAAAAATTCTTTTGGACACTGCTGTTCAAAGCAGTGGTTCTCAACCGTGGGTGATTTTCCCTCCAGGGCCCATTTGGCAATGTCTGCAGACTTTTGGGGTGTCACAACTCATAGGGTACCACTGGCATCTAGTGAGCAGAGGCTAAGGATGCTGCTAAACATCGTACATACAAGACAACCCCGCAACAAAGAATTACAGGCATGCCTCAGAGATATTGTGGGTTCAGTTGAATACCACTGCAATAAAGTGAGTCACACAAATTTTTTGGTTTCCTGGTGCATGTAAAAATTATGTACACGAGGGCTTCCCTGGTGGCGCAGTGGTTGGGGGTCCGCCTGCCGATGCAGGGGCCTGCCAATGCAGGGAACGCAGCTTCGGGCCCTGGTCCGGGAAGATCCCACATGCCGCAGAGCAACTAAGCCCGTGCGCCACAACTACTGAGCCCGCATGCCACAACTACTGAAGCCCGCGCCCTAGAGCCCACGCTCCGCAACAAGAGAAGCCACTGCAATGAGAAGCCTGCGCACTGCAGTGAAGAGTAACCCCCACTCGCCCCAACTAGAGAAAGGCCGCGCGCAGCAACAAAGACCCAATGCAGCCAATAAATAAATAAATAAACAAACAAACAAATTTATAAAAGAAAGAAGAAAGCACAGGAGAAACTCTTCATGATCTTGAGCTAGGCAAAGATTTTTTAGACTGGACTCAGAAAGCAATAACCATAAAGACTGATACATTGGACTTCATCAAAATTTAAAACACCAGGCTTCCCTGGTGGCGCAGTGGTTGAGAGACCGCCTGCCGATGCAGGGGATGCGGGTTCGTGCCCTGGTCCAGGAGGATCCCACGTGCCGCGGAGTGGCTGGTCCTGTGAGCCATGGCCGCTGGGCCTGTGTGTCCGGAGCCTGTGGTCCGCAACGGGAGAGGCCACAACGGTGAGAGGCCTGCGTACTGAAAAAAAAAAAAAAAATTATGTACACGATACTGTAGTCTATTAAGTGTACAATAGCATGTTTAGAGAAACAATGTACATACCTTAATTTAAAAATATTTTATTGCTAAAAATTGCTAACCATCATCTGACAACATAGGGCTGCTACAAACCTTCCATTTGTAAAAAAAAAAAAAAAAAGGCAGTATCTGCGAAGCACAGTAAACTGAAGCTCAATAAAACAAGGTATGCCAGTATCCTGTCCAAAATGTCAATAGAACCAAGATTAAGAAACCCTGCTTTAGAGATACAATCTCACTGAATATCCTCAGTAATCCTATAATAACTGATATTATCCGTATTTGATAAATGAGGAAACTGAGGCCTGGTGAGCTTAAGGAACTTGACCAAGGTCACACAGCTATTAAGTAGCAAAGCTGGGACTTGAACCCAGAGCTGTCTGACTTCAAACATATTACTCTGAAACTCTGAGCTAAAGGGGACCATGTCAGAGCCACACCCACTCTGGTAAAATTCTTCCTGCCTAGTGCCGTTCAAGACCTCAGCTTCCCTCATGTCCTCTCTGCGCTGCTCCCTGGAAATGCTGATTCCAGCCTGTAAGGCAGAGAGCCTGGCTGGACCTTGACCTCCCCATATCCTGCTCCTTTTGGGCAGTGATTCGTATACCATGGGGCACCCACCCTAAGGGCAGCATGTTAAAACATCAGGTGGGTGTGATGGAAATAATTGAAAAAGAAATGTCTAAGATTACTAGTTTTTTACATTTGGGATAATGGAGGAAATACTAATTTTATCTGTAATATAAACCACAGGACCTATTGTTGAACAAAGAGCTGATAATCTGTGGGGGTTTTTAAAACGTTGAGAAACGGGCTCAGTGGTTTCTGATGAGAGATCCTGAAATGTCTGCCTCCCTGAATGCATCCCTCTTTCCAGCTGCCTCTATCCAGAATGACCTCAACCAGGGGGACCCAGGGGCCCAGAGCACCAGCTGCAAGGGACAGGCCACCTGGTCCCTGGAGGAGGCGAGGAGGCTGCTGGCTGAGGCAGCAGCCACGCTTCGGGAGGAGAACACAAGGCAGGAGCGGATCCTGGCCCTCGCCAAGCGCCTGGCCGTGCTGCAGGGACGCGACCCCGATAGAGGTAGAGGCTGGGGCGCAGCCACTCATTCATGTCCACTGGGCAGCCCTCCCCACTCTCACCCTCAGGCCAAACTGCACAGTGGCTGTACTCCCTGCCAGGCTGAGTCAGGGGCTGGGGGTCCCTGTGCCCAGGGGTCTATCGAGCTCCACCCAGAACCACGAGGAAGGTGCTGGGGCGAAGCAGTGGATGAGGAACAAGTGGCAGCCATCAGGGGGCAGGGGACCCTGGGTCCCTTCAGGTATGGAGCCTTCTGTTCATGCCCTCCAGCCCAGCATGGTGGGGCAGGGTCTGCTCAGAGTGGCTGCAAAGGCTGCTCAGTTCTGGAACACGTGCCACTGGAAACCAAACCTCTGCTGGGGGCATAAGTACAGCCACTCAGGTGAGCTCTCAACCTCACTCCTCTTCCCCTGCTCCCGTCTCTCCCTCTTCAAGTGACCCTACAGGACTACCACCTTCCAGACAGTGATGACGAAGAGGATGAGGAGACGGCCATCCAGAGAGTCCTTCAGCAGGTCGGCCCCACCTTACCCACCCGACCACCTCTTGTCCTGTCCCTGCCACACCGCCCCACCACCCACCTGACCCCATTCACTCTGCCTCCGTTCTGGGGCTCGATGGCTAGTCACTGTGCAGCTCCTGTTCTAGCTGGGCCCCCCTGCCCCTGTGACACAGACCTGCCCCTGGGCCCTTGAGATGGGCTATCAGCAGCCACAGACAACATAAAGGAAGATGGGTTGAGAGCTAAGGCCACAGAGCACAGAAATACTGTGTGTTGGCGGGGCTGCCTGGAGTGGGGAGCTGTACCTCTTCGCCCTGTCCACAGCTCACTGAAGAAGCTGCCCTGGATGAGGCAAGTGGCTTTAACATCCCTGCAGAGCCAGCTCTCCGACCCCAAGCCCAATCCTGCAGGGCAGAGCCTGAGGTGAGGAAAACCCCAGACACAGACCCCCGGGCTGCCACCACAGCCTCCCTCCCTGCCTGGCCGACGGTTCCTCCAGCCGCCCTCCCAGACCCCATCGGGTGCCTTATGTCCCCCATTCCTTCCTGGTCTCCAAAGGTCCAGGCCGTGGCCGCCAGGCCTGAGGCTGAAGAAGAGGAGCTCCCCTGGTGCTGCATCTGCAATGAGGATGCCACCCTGCGCTGTGCTAGCTGTGACGGAGACCTCTACTGTGTCCGCTGCTTCCGGTGGGTGCAGGTGGAATGTTCTTTGGGGCTGGGAGAGTTGCGGGGCCGCCTGTGATCCCTGACCTCTATCTATGCTCCACAGGGAAGGCCATGATGCCTTTGAACTTAAAGAGCACCAGACATCTGCCTACCACCCCCAGCATAAAAGCCGAGAGCACTGAGGGAACACTGGTCCTCCTGGGAAGGCCATCCTACAGGCAATCACACAAGCTGGGATGCCCTCCAGGGCATCTGATGGGAGAACATGTCAGGCTAGACTGCTTATGAATGCGCCCTTTCCTGAGCCTCCGTCCCTGGAAGGAGGAAGGATTCTCCATTGGAGACGATGACTGGAGGAGGCAGAGGGAAGGCAGAAGTCTGGAGCCTCCAGCATTGAAGTCTGGACTAGGAGTGAGAGGCATGATGGGAAAGACCAGCCTGAATCCAAGGAGGAGTCCTGAAACTTGCTCAAGGGTCCAGGGCCCTCTACTGGCACTTAGAGCATTTAATAAAGTATGTTGATTCATTGGACTCAGCATCTTTTATCTATAGAACCCTGTGGGCCCTGAGCCTAGGCCTTTGGAGAGGTGGCAAAAGCAGAGCAGGCTGTAAGCCCAGTCCTGTAGAGTGAGGAAAAGGCTTGAGCCATCCTGCAAGCTTCTGCAGGCAGAAACAGTCCCACCCATCCTGGTGGCCTCATACACAGTAGGCATGAATATTCATACTACTGAACTGAACTGAACTGTGCATCCTGCTCTGGGCAGCCCAGCTTAGCCCCCAGGCCCCACCGTACTCAAACACTGCATGCACAAGCAGTGAATGCATACCCTGCTTCCTGCCTTACTCCCAAAGGATGCCACCTCCAGGGCTCCTGTCCCAACCCACGTGCCTTTCAGACCCAGTGTCTGTTCCCACCAAATTCCTTCTGACCTGGTTCCTGGCCTCTGAGCCTATACCCTTTACACCCCTCTGCTTAGCCTCTGCTTTTTCTCTTTCTGCCTCAGGCTTGGAGCTGGTTCAAGAGTCCTCAGCCTGAGGTCTCCTGAATCATTTAGTGAGGGAAGAGGGTTTAGCTTTCCCTGAGGCCCCCAAACCCAGCTAGTTTTTTTCCTGTTACCTCTCCTATGGGTCTTTGCCACTTGGGTTCCTATTGGTGATGTCAGGATGCCGTGTCTCTCAGCCAGGTGCCTTCTGCTTGGCCTCCAGGCCTTGCCTGATGGTAATTTCTCTGACGCAGAACTGTGACCTTTATCTTTGAATTCTCAAGCCCTGGGTGGATGGATGGACAGATGGACAGATGGGTGAGGTATGTGGATGCAGCCTAGTGACTCAGGATGCTGGCCTTACGGTATAACACTTCAGTCCCTCCCTCCTCCATCCCTCAGCACAGATATGCTCCACACTCCATTCAGCTGGGGCTCCTCAAGGTTTTATTCACTCAGCTGCCGAGGAAAGCACTGGACCATAGCCATGACTGGCTCCCAGAAAGCCCAGCTGACAGGAATTAGCTGTGACTGCACATAGACAGGGGTGTCCAAATGTCCCTCCTCACTCTCCATGTTCCTTGTCTGTGTCCCAAGGAGCTGTTTCCCTCTCAGCCCAGGATTCAGGGGTTCAGGGCAGACCTGGCAGCGCTGAAGCTGATGAAGGTAGTCTCACAAGGCTTATTTCTGAGGCCGACTGAGTCTCCGAAGTTTCTTGAGTTGACTGAGCAGCTCAGAGATAAAAGGCTGAGAAAGAAACACGGGTGAGATCAAGGCATGGGGTCACACCCACCCACCACACTGCTCTCCCTAGTCTCCACCTGACCCCATCGCTTCAGAGTCAGGGAAGGAGAGAAGGACCCAGGACCAAGCTTTCCTCTTCGCTAGCTGCCGTCCCACTGGGCCTCCTCTCACCCCCAGACTAACAGATCATCCCTTACCTCTGTGGGCTGGGGGCAGTTTTGGAGAATAGCCTGGTGGAAGAAAGCAGAGAGTGGGTCCCCGAGCCACAGCACTTTGTCACGAGTCCCCAGTCAGTCTCCCAGGAATTCTCCCCTCTGAATTGGTTCTCTACACACAGATGGGGAGGCAGAACCTGGGTTCTTGGGCTCCCCTTGGTCCAAGCCCAGCTTCCATCCCCCAACCCCTGGGCCTGGGGCCTGGCCCCCCATTCTACCTCCAACTGAGTCTTCTGCTCCTCTGTGGATAGTTCCATGAGAGCCTCCAGGTCGATCTCAGTCTCAGAAGGAGTTTGTTGATCCTGTTTGGGAATCACACGGAGCTCAGAGGAGCCTGGCTAGCTGGTGCTGGGGTGACAGTTAACTGTCAGGGGTTCACCCATCTCCCACTCTATTTCCCATGTTCAGTTCCTCTCCTCACCTTACTCAAACCACCCCATTCATCCTTTTATTCAACAGTTACTGAATAACTACTATGGTCTACCTGAAACAGTCTAGGGTTCTTTAAAAAGAGTATCTGTTTAATTTCAATAGTTGTAAACATTGTTAGTAGGGATGCAAAATGATGCAGATGCTTTGGAAAATAATTTGGCAGTTCCTTAAAATGTTAAATATAGAATTATCATCTGACCCAACAATTCCACTCCTAGGTCTATTCCCAAGAGAAGTGAAAACAGACATCCACATATGTCCATATGAATGTTCACAGCAGCGTTATTCATATTATGGATAAATAAAATATGATGTAGCCATACAATATTTTTCAGCAATAAGAAGGAACAAAGTAGTGATTCATGCCACAACATGGATTAACCTGGAAAACATGCTAGTGAAAGAAGCCAGTTACAAAAGGCTTCATATTATATGATTCAATTTGTATGAAATGTCCAGAATAGGTAAATCTATAGAGACACAAAGTGGATTAGTGGTTGCCTAATGCTGGGAGTGGTGGTGGTAGGGAATGGGGTGTGACCACTAGCGGGTACAGGGTTTCTGTTACAGATTATAAAATGTTCCAAAATAAGGGTCATCCCTGGTGGCACAGTGGTTAAGAATCTGCCTGCCAATGCAGGGGACACAGGTTCGAGCCCTGGTCCAGGAAGATCCTACGTGCCGCGGAGCAACTAAGCCCATGCGCCACAACTACTGAAGCCCATACATGTAGAGCCCATGCTCCACAACAAGAGAAGCCACCGCAATGAGAAGCCTGTGCACCGCAACAAAGAGTAGCCCCCACTCACCACAACAAGAGAAAGCTCGAGCGCAGCAACGAAGACCCAATGCAGCAACAAAGACCCAACGCAGCCAAAAATAAATTAATTAATTTAAAAAAGAGAGAGAGAGATACACCCCCATTTTCACTGCAGCATTATTTGCAATAGCCAAGATATGGAAACCACCCAAGTGTCCATGGATGGGTGAATGGATAAAGAAGATGTGGTGTATACATATGCACTGGAATACTATTCAGCCATCAATTTTAAAAAAAAAAGAAAAAGAAATCCTGCCCTGTGCAACAACATGGATGGACCTTGAGAGCATTTCATTGAGTGAAATAAATCAAAGAAAAACAAATACTGTATGATCTCACTTATATGTGGAATTAAAAAAACAAAACAAAAAATGAACTCATAGATACAGAGAACAGATTGGTGGTTGCCAGAGGCGGGGGTGGGGATAGGCAAAATGGGTAAAGCCGATCAAAAGGTACAAACGTCCAGATATAAAAAAGTCCTGGGGATCTAATGTACAGCATGGTGACTAGAATGAATAATATTGTACTATATATTTGAAAGTTGCTAAAAGAGTAAATCCTAAAAGTCCTCCTCACAAGAAAACAAAATATGTTTGGAACTGTGTATGATGACAGATGTTAACTAGGCTTATTATAGTGATCATTTTGCAATATACACAAATATCAAATCATTATGTTGTACACATGAAAAAAATGTCAATTACACTTTAATAAAAATGCTTTTTAAAAATTTAAGATGTAGGGGGCTTCCCTGGTGGCGCAGTGGTTGAGAGTCCGCCTGCCGATGC